ATCTATGAGGAAAGACAATAGGATTTGCTCTATGAGGATAGCCAAGTAGTGTCGACTCAACGAGGATATCCAGTTACGGCTGACTCTATGAGGAAAGTTAGTTGACGTTAGCTCTATCAGGAAAGCTAGTCGAATGGTTATTCTAGACGACCAATTAGACACATGGTTGACCTAAAGATTGGTGAACTGGAGTGATGTTGGATCTACGAGGTAAGTCAACGCAAACATCATGTCGTTTTAGGAGGTGTAACAAGATGGAAATGACACCGCTTGTACCAATCCTTAACGACAATGCGTATACTTGTATGTGTAACTTCGGAGTAATGAGCACAACAAATCAGGGGAAATTTTACAAGTGTTAGGCGTGCCTCACTTAATGCATTTGATCGTGCTGGACACGTTAGTAGTGAACAAGATACTTACCTTGGGGGTTATTGATGAATATATAGACCCGTAAATACGAAGTATTTGATAATAATTACAAGGGTGATTAGATAAGAGTAATTACTGATGTTGAAAACAAAGATTAATATTATATTATAATATTATAGTGATGTCTGAAGTAATAATTAGTAAAAAAGATGAATAATAAAGTGTAACTAAATGTAAAAGCTCTAAAGAAGAATAATATTATTTGAGCATTATTGTGTTGGTTATGTTATGTATCTAATTCCATGTTATGTGAGTGTTTGAATGCATGCTTAACCCATTTGGGATATGCACGTTCCATAACATCTTATTTATGATTAGCTCACTTTGCATATGTTGACTCATGTTTCTTTGCTTGTTGTTTGCCTTGTATTGGTATAGGTAGCACATTCAGATGGTTTGGTGAGGATGGGGTCTATTGGGTAGTTAAATTTAGTCTAATTTTAGTGATGATACTACTTTGGACATGTCGACGGTTTTCATTACCCTTTTTTTTTAGGACTTTATCAGTGTTGGTTTTGAGAATTTTAATAATGATGGGACTAGTTTTTGTTAAGAAATTAACATTGGTGATGCATTGGTAAAAACAAAAATAAGACTACTATTGTATTATTATGTTAAATGACGTTTTAAAAAAAATTTGGGTGAAAAACCACGATGTTACACCTGAGAATACATGCGTTTTGAAAGAGCGTCAACATAATGTTGGTTAGTTAGTTCACAGGTATGTAATGTTTGAATCATATGTACTTTTTAACCCAAACAGTATGTTATTGAATATACTTTAAAACCATAAAGTATATACTTTTTAGCCCTAAAAATTATGTGTTTAACCATATATATTATATATATATATATATATATATATATATATATATATATATATATATATACACACACACACTTTTTATACAAAGAAGTAGTGTTTACGTTGTAGATAAGTACAATTTCAACTTATATAAATATATACTTTTTAAACCAAAAACAATGTTTTCTCTGTATATATATAAATGGTTTCCCATCTTATATATAAATGCATTCAGAACGCTCACAACGTTACAATGAGTCCTTATAACAAAGATGTTTCTAGATCGTGCCCCTCTTGATGCTTTGCAACATCCCGATTTTTAACCCAAATTTTTCATTATATTTATTAAAATATATTAAAGTGTAATTACATTATGTGGAAACATGTTGCGAATGCACGTGTGTATAGTATAACATTTCCCTTCTCACAAACCAATTATGCTCCTAAAAAACATTTATAAACAAGTAGCTAAGCACAAAGCTTAGTGAGTTCTCCAATATACCATATACCATAATACATATTCATGCATAAAAACAATGCCTCACGATCTAACAATAATATGTGTACTTACGACCTTCACACCATTTCATTAACACAGGTCTATATATACTTACGACCTTCACGCAATTTCGTTAAAACAAGTCTATATGTACTTACGATAGGGCTGACATTTCTCGACACGACCCACAACACGACCCGCGACACGACACGAAATAAATGGGTTTGGGTTGAGTTTTTTTTAACCCGCCAACCCACCAACCCGTTTATTTAACGGGTCATATATGAGTTTCTAAAAAAATATTTTATTTTTAAATGTATTAATGTATCAAGTATTAATATTTAATAAGTATTATATATAGTATATACCATTGATTCATAGACAATTCGACTATTTTGCTAGTGTAGGCACATTTGTACTTTCCACTCTACTTAAGCCTAGAGAGATTATATTATTAGTACTTACTCTACTAGCTCTCTATCCTAACACACATAAATATATATTGTACCACACATGGACGAAGCATACATAGGGCCAGGGGGGCTATGCCCCCCCCCCCCTAATTTTTTTATATATAGTCCATAAGTATTAAAAAGGATACATATTATGCCCAAAACTATAAAATTTGACTTTGCCCCCCCCCCCCCTGTTCTTCAATTTTTATACGTATTCTATTCCCCCCCCCCCAAATAATAACTTCAAGCTCTGTCACTGGTACCACACTAGCTCTCTATCCTAACACACATAATTATATATCGTACCACATGGTATAGTGAGGTAACTCAGCTGGATATTAGTCCGAAGATTGACAGTTATCTAGGCAATTCCACTGTTGATCCAACTGGAGGGTAACGTGCCTAACTAGTACTAACCTATAATATTATAACTTATTAATTAATATGACAATATGGTATTGAAAGCTAGATATTTCTGAAATCCAACATGGTCATTCTAGACACCTCTCCCGTAAGTAGATCCATCAATATTATAACTGGAATTACTGATAAATCTTATTTATATATCCATAGCAACGACACTGAATGTAAATGTTAGTTACACTACAAGCGATACAAGTGTAGCTTAACCTACACAGATTCTCCTGCCAAAAAGTTTGGAAATCGCATTGACAAAAGTCTAACTTGAGAGCTTATTCGTCGAGCTCTCAAATACTCCCGACAACTAAAATACCATAGAATCTAAAGAAAAACCGGAGGAAAGGTTGAATACTTCAAACGAAAGGTTCTGAAGTGATGTGAGGAGGAATGAGGGTTGAAGGGGTGTTTATAGGCGGAATCTCGACCATCCTTCTACATCCGATTTATATTCATACTTCTAATACTAATTCTCTCTAAGCCTACTGTTGCACTTAATTGATCATCTAAGATTCTCAATAATCTTAGAGTATTACGATTTTAGATTTGCAAGTTGGAGTTCTATTTCATATTGCGATTTCATATTTGCAAGTTACCATGAAGCAAACCTCTTAGGGAAACCGACAACGAAAGTAGAAAGTTAGAAAGGTCTTGTTGGATTTTTCGATTTGGTTTCTCTTGAACTGGTTCCTTGACTTTGATTTTTCTTAATCTTTTTCTAATTTCTTTCTAAACTCGTTGTAATCAATCTTCATCAATTAATCTGGTTTTTGTGTACTGTGGTTATGGTTTGTTTTGAGAGTTTGATTTTTACCTGTTTGAGTTCGATTATCTTAGATATCTCGATTTTTTTTCAACTGATTTTTGGCTATCGGGTGAGTTTGATTTTTATTAATGTGATTTTAATTTCTCTCTGTACCTACTATCATATCAGAGGTCTGATTTCTCACTTTTATGGTATGTTGTAGGAGTTGGGTTTGTACCTATTTAAGTTTGATTACAAGAGAAATGATACGTTGCAGTTCGATCAAGTCCAGAGGTCCGATTTCTCTTCTGTTTGAGTATGAAATTTGCTGGTTTATGACTGATTTTTGAGGTTTACTTAAGGTAAAACTTTTCTAGAGATATATTCTAAAATATTATGTTATATTTCTGTTATTTAGGAGTCATATTTTTTTATTTATTCTGAATATTTGGAGGCAGCCAAGCTTTATGATTTTTCCATTGTTTCTTATTGACAATAATTTAAAAAATGGATTCAGATGTATGATTTTATGATTTATTTTCCGGATCACTTTTCGTGTAGAAAGTGGAAACAAAACCATAGTCAGTTGTTTATTTCTTTGCCCATCTTTTTAACTTCATTTGTGTTTTAAATATGTTTCCCCGAAAACAATTATCGGTTGCTAAAACCAGAAAATGAAAAACAAAAAGTGAAATCATTTACGAGGGAGAATGAATAGATTTATTGTTAGAAATCAAAATGTTTTGTAGTTCATATGATCCGACTCTTGTTCAATTGAAACGTAGATTTTAACAAATGCAACATTGTGAAAGCATACAATGGTAAAGAGATGGAATAAATTTATTTATCGAGTTACAAATTTTGTTGAAAATGAAAAAAACAAAGGTGAAAGTTTTTAGACATCTATTCAAATAATGGAGTACGCAAGAAGAATGTATGTGCTCCCTAACATGTTGGTTGCATATAAGATTCATCGGAAATAAATTTTCAAAATTGAAACTTTTTAAATTGTATCTCCGAAGTACCATGACTCAAGAAAATTTGAGTAGATTGGTAATTTTTAATATCGAAAGTGATTTTTTACAAAATATTTATATTTGAAAATAAGAGATGTTTTTTTGCTTAAAAAAATGCATAAAGACATCGTTTTAGGTGATTTTTATAGGTTTTTTGTTTATATTACTTGTTTGATTATAAAATTTACTGCATTTTGTTTTTTATAAAATTTTTAAGTGCCTTTTTGTCTATTGTACGGTACTTATATAAATGCATACAATTATTATCTCGTCCCAGGTATTAAAAACCAATGGACCCCGGGGGATTAAAGTAAATGTACATGTACCTTGTGTATATGTGTTGATTTACCACAACAAATGAAACAAGTCCAATGATTAATCGGACTAAACCAAAATGTTGAAATGCTGAAAATGTTTCTACTGCATTTTAATGTTGAGCTACAGTTTTGCATCTAACAAACAAATTGCAAGAATTAGCCAATACGTAGCTATGCTTTCTTATCACGAAGTTTAAGCTTACCATTGATGGTTCATTGAGTGACATCATCTCATGTTGAATAAGAGTGTAAAAGGAATTAGAAAAATAATATAATAAATCATCCAAATACCAAATTTTAGTTGTCTTTTTTCCTCAAGAAACCAATAGTTGATTTGCTTCGCATGCGTTTTCTAACAAATGAAGGCTTTCGACACACTGAACAATCTCGGATATGAAAGAAGCAGCATGGAATTCCACTAGTCTTGATTGTGTCCCCATCTTAATAAGATAAACTTCCATCCCCTGATCATTCATAGCGGAAAGCAAAAAATCTCTATTGATGGTCGGTTGCAAAACTCCCATAATTGATCCTCCTTTAAACTGATTTTCTTTCGATTTATAAACGACAGACCAAGAATCATCTCTCCTCACCCAAATCCAACAATCACTATAGTAACTGTTATCATCATACCCAGAAATCATTGCTAGAGAACCTTGGAAGGTTGTTAGTCTTGTCAATCTCCGAAAGGGTTCAGGCAATGGAATCATGCCAAAAACATGAGTGCTCAAATCGAATGTCATTATACAAGGAATCTCACTGTGATGTGATTCTGTATGATAACGATCAACCACCCAATGCAAAGCTCCATTCACAAAACATGACCCCCAAATGCCTCTCCTTACTTCAGAAAAAAAAGGTGTAGGGGAGGCTATCGCACACCAACTGCCTGTCTTTAGTGAATAAAAATATGAACTTTCTCTGGCGTATGATATCTGGACAATATTGTAATCATCACTGATTGGGTCGAAACCAAACCCAAGCGCAAGCCCAAACCCTTCCAAAGGGCCTCTAGGTCTCCGTGGACAATCAGGCAGGCTTTTTTTGCGCCTTATTGAAGGGTTCCATAGACTAATTCCCTTCTTATGCTCACTCAAACAGAATATTCCATCACATGAACCAACAATTATGAAAGCTCTGCTACATGGAAACTGGACTGCTGTTATACCATTGTATCCTTCTGTGGGGCACAATGGCAACTGGTCTTCTGAATGTAATGTATAAAAGTCATCTGACAATAATGTATGGAAGTATTCAACGCCATAACGAAGATGATGTCTGAGGAGGAGTTTTTGTGTGGATCGAGAACCGTGCATGCGGATGAAAGAGGGACTAGAAATACAAGAATACCATGATTTGGAGAGTGATCTAAACCGGAGGAGGGATTTGGGCGGCAGTCTTGTGAACATTGCAATTATCAACTCTTGGCATAGATAATCTGACATTGTGTAATCCTGAATTTTTGGAAGGAGATGAAACTTCAGTACTGATAGCATGCAATCAAAACCATCTGTGTTTCTATTTAAAGATTTTTCAACAGGATCATGTTTCAGTCAAATCGTAAATTTTCTTAAATAAAATCAAACTAACTTATGTTCTCATCGTAATATCATTTACATCATCCATAAAATGGAAAAAGTAATTGGTTGTGAATGAAACAGGTATATATCGGGCTCTTATATGTTTAGTGAGTTGCTTATTTAGTTGAATATCCTCTGCATACAAATATTCAATAGAAAAAAAAAATGATCGTTGTTATCAACTAAAATATCTAATATACTTTCAAAAAGGTAATTAGGTATATTATATGAATCTTAGCCATCATCACATCAATTAAAAAGGCAACAAAATAAAAACTTGAAGGGGAATCGACGATTAAAATCACTCACCAGAGAAAGGAAGGAGAGGAAGAGTAAACTGATGAGTGATGAAGACGATGCTGCGGAAATCTTGTTGTGTAGCCCCAAAACATCGACGATCGACCGAGTCTTGCTGGGGCTTAATTAGGTTTCATTTGGGCCCAACGTTCCCCCTGTTTCTTCCATGTTTTCTTTTTGTGAATAATGAAATTCTTTTTGTGATAGCATTTTAATGTACTCAGTTTTGAAGATTTTATTCCTTTTTAGATCAAGGTTTTACTTGCCACGCTAATTTCATTTTTGCTCTGGCTTAGCGTAGATCATATTCCCACATCTCCTTCACTCTCCTAATTCCTAAACCTTAGGAAATGATAACCCTTTATTCCTTTAGTTTTCTGTATTTTAAGTAATTATTTAAAAATTTAAATTTTATTTTAATAATACAATAAATAGTAAAGGTAAATCGACTGAGAAGTTTACATATTTAAACCTTATAACCGATTTAGTTTTCATCTTTCTTTTTTTTTTAATAAATTAATTTCAAAAAACCAGAAAATATAGACATTTTGACCCCTTTACCCAGTAACAAGTTATTCAACTTTCAAAAATAACACTTTTGACTTAGATTTTAATTTTTATTACAAATTTGGTCCAAACTTTACACTTTTAACGAATATTTCAAAATTTATAACAAATTTGGTCCAAGGGTTACACTTTTGTCCTAGATTTCAAAATTTTGTTACACTTTTGGTCCAAAAAATGTATTTATTTTTACATCTTTTTTTTCAAAATTTTCTTTCGAATATGTCTTTTTTGCTTTATAAAATCATATTTATACAAAAAAAAAAACATATTTTCACATAAACATTTTCTTTTTTCTATATAAAAACTTTTTTTTAAAACACTATTGTATGCTAAACACATTTTATAATAAATACATGTATATACAAAACCCTTTTTATAAAAAAAAGTGTATACAAAGATGTATTTTTATACAAATGTATACAAACACGCTTTTATAAAAAAAATATAGAAATACATATTTCATAGTAAATGTATTTATATATATTTATGTATTTATATCCATACAAATAGGAGTTTTATACATAAATTTCGATATTTTTTATAAACACCTATTTTATAATAAATATATTTTTATGCAAACATGTTTTTTACAAAAAAAATGTATACAAACATGTGTTTTATAAAAATATATACAAACATGTTTTTATAAAAACAATGTATACAAACACCTATTTTTATAAAAATGTATACAAACACGCTTTTTAAAAAAATATATAGAAATACATATTTCATAGTAAAAGTATTTTTATATATTTATTCATTTATATGCACATAAATAAGTGTTTTATACATTTTTTTTATAAAAACATGTTTATATAAAAATGCAATTATTATAAAATAGGTGTTTGTATATTTATTTTTTTATAAACTACATGTTTGTATACATGGTTTATATATATATATATATATATATATATATATATATATATATATATATATATATATATGCACTTAATAAATACCTAATTTTATAAATAGTTATTTCATATACAAAAATGTTTTTTTTAAAAGTCTTTATATAGAAAAAGGAAGGCTTTTATGTGAAAATATGATTTTTGTATAAATATGACTTTATAAAGCCAACAAACATCCGAAACAATTTTTTGAAAAACAAAGAGGTAAAAAAACTAAATTTAAGATGAATTTGTAACAAAATTTTGAAATCTATGCCAAAAGTGTAAACTTTATACCAAATTTGTAATAAATTTTGAAATCCAGGCCAAAAGTGTAAATTTTGGACGAAATTTTAATAAAATTTAAAATCTAGGCCAAAAGTTTAATTTTTGAAAATGTATTCAGTTTGACTGTTAAAAATGTCAAACTGAATACATTTTCCGGTTTTTTAGGACTTCATTGACTAAGGCTATGTTTGGCGCACTAGCTCAAAAGTTGGCTGTTAGCTGAAAAGCTAGCTGTTAAATAAAAAGCTAGCTCATAGCTGAAAAGCTAGCTGATAAAAATAACGTTTGGTAAAACTAGCTGAAAAGCTAGCTGAAATATATAAAATTACATAAAGGACATGTAAGAATATGTGTTTCTATAATTAATTAAGGGGTGTATTTGAAAAAATTTTAAAAAGCTCCTAAAAAGCTAGTCTAAGTAGCTTTTCAAAAAGCTAGCTTATCAGCTACTTTTTGGCTTACCAAACACGACAACATAAAAAAGCTCAAAAAAAGAAGCTAGTTTATCAGCTAGCTGTGGCACGCCAAACATAGCCTAAAAATTTGTAGGACTTCATTGACTAAAAAAAGACAATGACTAAATTGGTTATGAAGCCTAAATATAATGACTTTTCGATAGATTTTTGAACAAAATTTTTCATTAATTCAAAAGTAAACTAAATATTGCATACATATTAAAATGAAATACAAACATAATAATAATTAAAATAAGCCCAATTGATATATTTTTTTCATAATTTTGTTTTTATCCTTGAAATCATGGTGAATTATTCTCCCGAAAGATGATGGGTGCGTTACATCAAAAGTTTCATATCTCTTGAGTCTTTTCCGTCATGAGCTTCGACATGACACGGGGCTAACTCGGACGAGAAACAACTGGAACAAGATCTAAAGGTTTTCAGAAGGTCGGACACACTGCGTAGAGTTCCAGTGAGATTCAAGCAGGACTAAGGATAAGGCTCTGATATCATGTGAATAATCTAAAAATCTAGAAAAAAAAACTTGCTTATAGATAAGCCTCAATTTATATACACATAACAACCTAGTTTTGGGTAATCTCACTGTTGTAAAAATTCCGACTTCCCGATTAATCTCCGAATAATCCATAGGCGCTACTCGACCGATTAGAGGGCACCTAGCGATTAATCCTAGCATACATAATGAATGAAACATTATAAAACGATGAACTTGTAACATTTTGAAGAATTTTTATCTCATTGGAAACTATTTGAGGCACGATTAGTGTTGTATTAATCATATTCACCTATTTTGTTATCATATTAGTGGTATTTACGTACTTTGATATGATATTAGTCATATTTAATTTTTTAAAATTCAACAAATTAGCAATTAATGGACCCCGATTAATCTCCGCCTAGCTGATTAATCCCTTGACCCCAGTCCACCGACTAGCTAACGTCGAACGTTTTTTACAACCTTGGGTAATCTTGACATGGATATGCTATTTGAATTATGGGTATGGTTCAAATAGTTAGGTTTGTTTGTTTTTTTTTGGGCAAAATATATGCAGTTTGCGGACCACATCTGTAGACCTCTGCAGTAAAAGAGGTGGACCGTACATCTGTAATCTGAAAGAAGAAGACTATTTGTTTTTTTAACACCTGCGGGCTTCTAAAATAAACTAAAATCTGAATAAATTGTTTTTTTAACATCAAAGTGTTGTTTTAATCTTTTTATGAAGTTATTATAGATAATTAACAAATATGGATCAACTTTTATGTACTATTGTATAAAAAATGAAAATAAAATGGTACGAATTAATATATATGTTTGATGAAAACTAACAATTTTGGTCGCAAAGTTACACCTTAGCATTTTAATTAGGGATCAAAGAATTTAACAAATAAGATGGATGGAAATAAACTTCGATTTTAAAATAAAAAGTTTCAAAATTCTCATTTTACTTGTCTATTAAATCAATTAAAAACATACCGTAAGTATTTTTTCCAAGAAATTAATGATACTGCATTAAATAATATCTTATAAAATTTGACACAAAAATATAAGACAATATTATTATTTTTATCATATTTGTAAAACCAGATTCAATAACCATTATTGTAATAAATCTTTTGTAACATCCATAAAAATCAAGCCAATTTAAACTTTTTAAAACATTCAAAAACCATTAGTCATTACAAATCTGTTTTCAAAATAGTTTCATATCAGAGTATCCCAGAAATCCAAATCAAAATATGAGGAAGTGTACGGTCACACCTTCGCCTTCCCGCGGTCATCCGCTGTACCTGACACGATAATCGATAAATGTAAGCTCGAAGGCTTAGTGAGTTACCCCCAAAGTACCAACCTCATATAACCATAACATATCATATAACAAATACAGAACAACCATGCATCTCGAGTCTACAGTGTGACTGGTCCGCCCGCACCGGGCCTTCAGTCCACCTGGTCCACTCTCTGAGTCTACAATATGACTGGACCGCCCGCATCGGGCCTTCAGTCTATCTGGCCCACTCTCCAAGCCTCGGCACATCTGGACCGTCCTCTCGGGGCCTTCAGCCTATCCGGACCGCTCGCCGGGCCTTCAGCCTGACTATGTGCCCTCCCGGGTCTGCAGTCTATCCGGTCCGCCCTGGGTATGTTGGCCTACAGCACAAAGCAGGACCCGCCTCAACCCAACCTCTATACCAACAACATGTGCACAGAAACAGATAATCACATAACAGTCCATAAATAACCAAACCGGTCTAACCGATCACTAACATAGCAACATCCTAACCAGGATACCGACCTAACCGGTCACTAACATAGCATCACCATATATACAAGGACACCGACCTAACCAGGTCACTAAGCATAACATAGCATATCACCATCCTAACTAACAGG